TTTGTTTATGCAAACCCTCTCCACATCTTTACAAATAGCTGTTACCCGCGCGTTGTACGCGTCCCGTCTGTCTTGCACTGTAATCTTAAAATGTAGGAAATACTGTCGCGGATTATTTTTTAGACCAGGAGAAATCATTCTGTTGTACATTTTTTTTGGGGATATTGAACCGTTTCCCCAATGTACGAATTGGAAACTCACCAAGATGAATAATTTTTCCCGTTTTTCCATATTTCCCGCTATTTTTATTTCCCCTATTCGTCACAGAGTGTTCAAACAAACAAACTCTTCAGCTTTATATATTAGTATAGACAAAGCTGAACAGTTTGTTTATTATTCTATCCTAATAGTATAGATTAATATACAACCGACTTTTAATTAAGATAGACGAAATACGTGATAGTAGCCAGGTTCAGACCGGCGTCGAATATACACTTTGCAATGATACAATTAAATTGCTAATGGAGGTTGGAATAATCAAGCGGTGATTTACTTTCCCTTTTAGCAGAGTTATATCACACTCAGTCCCTTCCAGAGTTTCTAGCGCTGAAACGTTCAAGTACAATAACTACGTTCAACGTAAAAAGCCAGTTACTACAGACGCCCATTGATCACCGGGCGGCGGGCTCCAACGAAAGGGAATGCTAGGAGACCCACGCCCGTTTCATTCTGAAATACAGCCAAACTGAACACATGGAAAAATAAAACCTAATCACTAGTGATACGGTTGAATATTGGCTAGTGTAGAGCTGCAGTTGAGCTTTTACTTTCAAGACGACTGTCGGTAGAGTATCAAGTTTAGGTATACCTAGTATCCAGTATTTGTTACGGCGCTCAAAGATTAGTGAGGTTTTAGATAGGGTAAGCTTTTCGTGCGAGCGGATTCATTTGTTCGCATTAAAAGCTTTCACGCTGAAAACTTGTGTATAACGAACTTTTATGCTTCAGTCCTTTTATAATGACGATTTATATGAAGTAGCACTTTGTGTTCTTACATGCTTAAACCTATTAACATCTATTAAAGTTAAAACGTTATTGTTATGTCTAGCAATGTATCTATTGTTAAGTTTAAATTAAAACACATTTAACGGTTTAAAATATGAAGTGAATTAGTTTACTTATTTATTTTAACTAAGTAGCAGCACCCGTTGGAAACAAAGTAAAAATAAATTTTAAGTAAGTTAACTAATAAACTTCATCTTTTAAACCCTTAAGACTGTTTTATTTAAATGTATACTACTCGCATAAAATACAGACAATACGCAAATATAACGTTTCATTCGTATAATTTCAATGATTGTTGTCTAAAAAGTCTTAACGTCTAAAGTTTTGTTAAAAGGGACACTTGTATATAAAGTTTACGAATGGATTTGTCAATTTTAATGTCATCGAACAATTGTTCTTTCAGTCTATCAAATAAAAAATATAAAGCAATAATTTCATACATACGTGTTCATAGTGTCACAAAATGGTACAATTAAATAATGTCACTGTATCGCAGCGGTTGGCACTTCACATAACGTCTGGTTTTCGCAGCAAAGCTTAAATTATTTCTAATTATGCTCATTTCCCATTAATTTTATTCACTCCTTATAAGTGTCTGAAGGCAGTGAAGTCTTTTGTCTCCATATTTCTTTGTCAAGTGCTTTCCCGTGCCAGCAGATTCAAAAGATCTCTTGAAGATATATTAAGTTATAGTTATTACGAGTCTGTAGTTATATAGCTTCGTTATTACGAATTATTATTAGAATAATTTTAACGATGTAAAACGCTGAATGTAAAAAATAACTTATTTTGAATTAAATAAAAACTAAATAAAATACGTTTTGGATGTTTTGCAATAGCTGTGACCCCCGTGACTATGAGAAAATATAAAATTAAAAATAAACAAACATAATATTTTCATGTTTTAAACAGTTAATAGAGTTTTATTTTTTTGTGTGCCACTCTTGTAAAGAAATGCTTTGACTATTGTTGGTATTTGCGGTAATTTAATTCTAATAAGAAACTATGTGAAAATAATTTTATAATCATAAATTTATCATCTGTGGAAATTAGCATATACTTACGTTTTTAAATTGCCAGTATTACATACGATCATTATTCACCTGAAAACCGAATGATGCCGACAGGTTAATAATCACAAGCCAAGCCGAACTTGATTAAAATAAACGTAGCATGTAATCCACGTAAACCATTTACGCGGGAAACGAGAACGGAAATCAGACGCGGCCATATTGGATGCGGAAATGGTGTGCTCGCTTGACGATCTTCTGTCTGTTTTGAGTCTGTGATAAAAAAATATACACGTCTGTCCGTGGTTGCTCGGGAAAATTTATAGTGTTTATTTTATTTTATAACGATATTTTCTAAGTTATATTTATTATTTAGTTCCACGTTATTTTTAGTTATTCCGCATATTATTAATTCATTTTTCTTTATTATATACATTTTATACATATTTGTTTATATTATTCTGTGTGGTTTTATACAACAATGGAAGTTTAAAAAATACTGTAATTAGCTTTATCTGAAATTAAGTAACACACGTCAACTTTACCTAGTTTTTTAGCGTGCCAGAAAATTTTAATGCATAAACGGGAGCAAATAAAAAACAGGAACCTAATTAATCACGTTTCTGGAGCAGAAAGTTTTATTCCTACGATAGAAACTACCAACCCACACTCGTTTTAAAAATGTTTACAGTACTCATCTCGGCCTGGAGATCACATCAGAATATTTTTTTGTGGGCTACAAATGCTAAAATTTAGTGCAATCAAAGACAGCAGGTTCAACAACACGACACACGAAAATGTTTTTAGAGTATTTCTGAATGTACATTTTCGGATTAAAACAGACAAACATTACCTTCTGGCTTCATATTTCATACTTATTTTAATGACAAAATCTAGATGGAGGCAAAATTGTTAGACTATAGTATTATATTGATGATTTCTTATTTTTGTTGAATTATAAAAAAAAGTTATATGTAAATTAAAAATCGTTTCGTGCGTTTGTTCTCATGCCGTTCGAGTCCTGCCCGTATCGTATATTTTTGCAATTTATTAATGATTTTTAATTTATATAGAGTGCCATCGTGTATATGGAAACACAACAACAAGAAATTAATTTACTTTTAATTTGCAATAACATGGAAAAATATGATTAAGTGTGTGTTTTAATAACATTGTACCTATTACAAAATATTTAAATTGAAGCATCGTTGTCATGACTTGTAAGCTATTCATAATTGCTTAGTGAGCTGTTTATGTAAACCTCCCCTAAGATAAGTTACTTCTGTCGTGACCAAAATTTCTCAGGAAGCCAAAGTACCACGATTACTTGCAGAATTTCGTATCGGAATAATAGAACCGTCAGCATAATAAGGAAAGCTGGCAAGGCGGGGTAACTTCACCCCTCATCTGAAGTTTACGAGCTCAACCATATCCACTGAACCAGACTGACGTTAATAATTGTTTCTAAGGGTGAATTAATTCTGTTCAAATTTAAGATATTCTATATCAATATAGAAGTAAAAGTTACCAAATTTTGATGGTAGGAATTCTAATACTATTCAATTTAATGGACATTGTTTTTGTAGAGCCGTTTAATGGGTCGCCGCATTACCATAGCTCTGAAATTATGACACGGGCACGTGAACCGGCATCCACAGAGTTTCGTGCTTTTGTTCTAACCAATTACCGTTTTAAATAAAACACTTTAACGGTTTAAAACGCGATATATTAGTTAAACTTATTTGGAAATGATTTTTAACTTCGGACCGACGTCTCATCGAAAGTTAAACCGTTGGAAAGTGTTTTATTTAATAATTATTTTAAATGTGTACTACTCGCGTAAACTATAGACAGACAGACATTACCGTTTTCTAGACGTCATCATCGAACTTTTACAATGTATTTATACATGCACCTCTCGCGCAATGTAACTTCAAATTTAACGATTGTAACGATTAATTCTAGAGAGAGCTAAACAGGACGAACAATCAACTGTATTCTTTGAAAACATTAATATTTTTCACATGTGTATTCTTTGAAAACATTAGTATTTTTTACATGCACATGAAAGCACTATATAATTTAAAAATCGAAAATAAATTGAAAAAAAGGACTCGGACTAACTGTATCCTTTCTATTACTTATATTGTTACGTAGCTCACCGTATTGCCTAGCATTATGTTAAGCATGTAAGGTCCCGGGTTCAGGGCAAGGCATAGAAGTCTTATCTTTATCAGGCAAGTAATTCCTGTTGATAAAATCGATCAGTACACATTGACAGCGATGTAACAATCCATTTTTCAGTTTGAAACTTTTCCAAAAGATAATCCTTTGTTTACTTAGATTTCCATCATCGAATCGTTATTATATTTATTTTTCGTTCGGTCTAAAAGACCGCGCCGCTCCACGAAATTTAATATTGGTTCAGGGAAGGTTCCGTGATGTTTTATAACAAGGTTATTTCGCTAAACCTCTTATTTTTTATACTATATTATATTTTATGTCCGGAAAACGAGAAATTGGGTGGAGTTGGGCACAGATGTCTTATAAACTACTAGATCAGAAAAACGGACATAGAAATATGTTCGCTTAATAGTATATCATATATTCTATATATCGTACAGTCGAGAATAGTTTCATACTTATCACTTTAGTAATTAAAAGCGCTCTACTTTGATAGACCAAGTTCGTCTTGAAAGATCTGTGGAAATTTCCTATAATTATAGTCAATGGTACGTAGAATTTTTAATGGGTAACTTAAGACCGAGGTTTGCGGGTTGTATTACATGCATCTATTTTACTGCTTGAATTATGTATTGGTTTCGACTTGCGATGTACTAAGAAATGTGCGTTTTATATAATACTAGCGATAGTTTTGAAAAGAACTTTGCTATTCAAAAATATTGCAGCACTAATAAAATGCTCCAAAATACTAAAATAAACAAATTTCGTTGTTGCAGCTGCTTCTCGATCCCCGCAAACAACATGTCTGGCGGATCTCACGTCTCAAGAGGGACGTTTGGGGACTCCGAGATGTCTGGAAGCAGCGCGGCCCCTCTTCCAAGCCCTGCATCTGCGGGCGCTGCACTGGTATCCCCAGAAACCCTCAGTCGGCATAGTAGCCCCCCACCAATACCAGCTCATCCATCATGCCAGCCTGCACCTTCCTGCTCGTCTCATCATGTCCATATGGAATCGCCTTTGAGGTATTATTCTGTTATTAATAAAATTATTGTATGTTTGGTATATAAGACGGGTTATTTCAAATATTTTTAATATTCAGATTAAAGACATTCGAAATATGTCCGTACCAAATAAAACAAACTTTTTGTTTGTTTGATTGCGCGCTAATCTTAGGAATTACTGATTCAATTGCTATTTTTTTGTGTTGGTTAGATCATTTATCGAGGAAGATTTTAGGCTATAAAACATATAAAATATACAACAACACGCTGCGATCAATAGGACCAAAGAATCTGTATCTTTGTTGCTTTGCGTTGCGTGCGTTGCGAAAACGGTTCTAGAAATAAAATAAAAAAATTATAAAGGAATGCATCTTCTTTTAACCATCTACAAATTTCTTTTAAACATCGACTGGACGCGGTTGACATGGTGGTGTTAAAATTTTCAAATTCGGTGGGGACGAAGTTGCGGCCACAGATAGTACTAGTATAACTATTAAATTGAAAGTAACGAAACAATGAATTACATTGATTCTTATTTGTTTTAAAATTTGTTCTTTCAACCCAAAAACATGGAGAAGTGTCGCCAAACGACCATTAAATTGTGATACCAAAGGGATTAGTATCAAAAATATCGGGTTTCCACAATATCCAGACAGTATAGGAAATGGTTGACTATAAATTACAGGGGCAGTCTAGGTTTCATAACTATAAACGCGCGCAGTTTAATGGATTCATAAATCGATGCCGTTGAGTTTTTATATTTTTGTTCAATATTATTGTGTACCTTGTTGACAATATAAGTAATATTCCGTCCTAAATTTTAATAATAGCGTCGTACAGTCATTATCAAAAGTAAAACAAATGTTTTGAATAGGGGGGGGGGGGGGGGGGGGGGGGGGGGGGGGGGGGGGGGGGGGGGGGGGGGGGGGGGGGGGGGGGGGGGGGGGGGGGGGGGGGGGGGGGGGGGGGGGGGGGGGGGGGGGGGGGGGGGGGGGGGGGGGGGGGGGGGGGGGGGGGGGGGGGGGGGGGGGGGGGGGGGGGGGGGGGGGGGGGGGGGGGGGGGGGGGGGGGGGGGGGGGGGGGGGGGGGGGGGGGGGGGGGGGGGGGGGGGGGGGGGGGGGGGGGGGGGGGGGGGGGGGGAAAAAAAAAAAAAAAAAACAAAAAGAAGGGGGGGGGGGGGCCAAAAAAAAACCCACCCCCCCAAACCCAAAAAAAAAAAAAAACACAAAAAAAAAAACAACCCCCCCCACCCCCAAACCCCCACAACAAAAAAAAGGGGGGGCCCCCCCCACCCCCCCAAAACCCCCCCCCCGGGGGAGGGGGGGGGGGGGGGGGGAAAAAAAAAACAGGGGGGGCGGGAAAACCCCCCCCCCCCCCCCCCCCCCCCCCCCCCCGCCCCCGAAACCCCCCCAACGGGGGGGGGGGGGGAAAAAAAAAATTTAAAAAAAAAAAAAAAAAAAAAACCGGTTTAAAAACCGTAAAAGGGTTTTATTTAAAGGTGAACTACTCGCGAAAACTATAGACAGTATTTAATTAAATTATTTATTTTTATACACGTAGTTTGGTTATCGTTGTATTTAAAATTATTATTTTAATAATTATAACATTTACTTTTAAATTTATAAAGAAAAGAAATTAAAAAAAATATATATCCTATGTTGGTTATACTAAATATTGCCTGTAGTTTACGCAAGTAGTACACATTTAAATAAAACACTTTTACGTCTTCTCGTGATATCAGTTACTACAAAACATGCGAAACGTCGGGCTGTAGTTAAAAATAATTTTGAAATAAGTTTAACTAATATATATCGCGTTTTAAACCGTTAAAGTGTTTTATTTGCATTTATTATTTAAAATGTTTGTCTGCAAAAGAATCCAGTGATTTTTTTTGCAAAGTCTTTCGAAGACTGTCCTATATTTTTTCTAAAGCAAAACATTTTGAGTTAAAATTTTCTAAACAACTTTTTCGCCGACTGCCCAAATCTCCAAATAACGGAATTCCGTTATCCTTACAAAAATAAAATTTAGAAAGACGTTAAAAGCAAATGTGTAAATTATGATAAGAAGGATTTGAAAAGCAATTTTGTTTAAAATCCCTTTCTAAATAATGCTGGCAGCCGACGTTCTGTGTCTAATACACTTATCAATTTTATTTGCAAGTAGAATATTATTTTTCTGAAGTATGCTCGACCAAAGCCATTCTTTTACTGGGATTCGAATCTTGTGTTTAAGGTTTAAGCAATTAGCTAGAGAGAAGAAAACTTAACTAAATTGATACTGATTGGTTGCTACATTTTCTATAAACATCCAATAAACTTCAATAATTTAAAAGTGCTTCGTCAAAGCGACTCGTAATAGCCTCTTGAAATAAAAAGCAAATAAAAATAACATTTCAAAGGTAACTTGAAGGAAAGATGATTGAAAAAGCAATTGTATATTTAACTGGTTCAATATTTGCTTAATAGCAATTTAGAAAATATGTTACTAGCCATGGGTCTTTGTTAACATTACTTATTAATGGAATAAATATGTACTTCATTATTGCGAGTATCAAAATCCTAAATAGTCCGACAGTGCCACTTGTTTAGATGTTATTTTTCATTTTATTATTCCCAAGCATAGTTTACTCTGTGGTTACAGTCAACTGTCAAAGATAACAAGCTGTCAAGTCACTGTAATATGTCAGAGCACAATGGCGACCGCGAGGCCACGAATTCTTTTGCATTTTCCAACATATAATATATTTCTAACTAAAAAAATGAATTGGGTAGACATAGAGTACTTTACATATTCAATAGTGAAATACTTTATATACCACATAAGGATATCATTGTTTTAGATACGACAATGACGTTGCATTTAAGCATTAATATTTGCTGTGTAAAAAAATTACCAGGCTGAAGTAGAAGAAGCTTATTTGAACTAGCTGTGTCAGCGACTTCGTCCGCGTAAAATAGTTATTTTAGGCATCCAAATTAGTTTTTGCAAACATGCTCCTTATCTTTATGAATTTAAGCTGTTAGTCACGACATAGGTCGCGTCCCGTCGTTCTTACATCCGTTAATCTTAAAAGATAGACAGAGACATAATTTTTACATATATAAATAGTTTTTGGGTATCTTGTACTTATATACCGATATAAAATTAGATGATATAATTATGTTAAGATTTTTCCCCTGTATTTTTACATTTTCCGCTGTTTCTTCGCTCCTATTAGTCACATTGATATAGCCTGTTGCCTGGTGCATTTGTTATAGCCTTCCTCGATAACGTTCCTAAGATTAGCGCGTTCTAACAAACAAAAATAACTCTTTAGCTTTACATATTAGTATAGATCTTCTCCTTATTTCGCATTAAGACAAAGCAACTTCGTTAGGATCATACAGTTTTCCGTCACATATTTTTTCGGAAAAACATAGTACTTATTACAATGGTTTGTCTACCGCTAGAGTAATAAAAGTGTAAATAAATTTCTTTCGGTGGCACTTCAATAGAGAGCGGTTTCGTGTCAGAGATTTATGGACTGTGTCGTAAATTCAATGCAGGATTTAGTGGAGCTAGTGCGGTCTAGCTATTGGCTTTAATTTGACGTAGAGGAGCGAGAGGATGATCGGGTTTAATAAGCTGTGCTGAGGCTATGACGAATTACTCTTGGGCTAATATTATGTCAAAGTCAAAAGTCTATATTCATTCTTTTGATGACTCAGGATATTTATAATGAATACTGTAAAAAACAAAAAACTATACATTCTCTTTTCAAATAAAATACGTAGTACTTCTGTCTCAATAGTTGAATTTTTTGTTATACACGAGTACGAAAATTCCTGTATGTCTCGACTTTGGGTGCCTCGGTCACATTCATACGTACATACATCAAAGCCTCTCTTGCCGGCCGCTACAGCCATGTACTATTTATGACTTACAATCTTTCATAGTTGCAATAATAACAAATACCTGATAGCATAATACATACGCAGACAGAAAAGCGTTACATTGTTTTATTAATCTATACAATATTAAAGCTGAAGAGTTTGTTTGTTTATTTGTTTGAATGCGCTAATCTCAGGTTCGGATTAAAAAAATATTGTATGTTTTGGTTAGAGCATTTATGGAGGAAGGCTATTATATAACATTACGTTACTTACTGCGACTAATAGGATTTTAAAGAAGAGGGCAATGTCGAAAAAACGGGGAAAATTGTTCATCCGTGTGGGTTTTCCGTGGCGTACCTACGCTGAGAAAAATGGTACAAGATACCCAAAAAATATGCAAGAAAGAATGATTTATCTTTAAATGATTTAAAAAAACGACGGAACGCAAACAACGTCGTGGGTAATAGTTCAAATTTGTAGAGTTGAAAAGGAGATTTGCAAAAAAAAAATTGATATCAATAATAACTATTCAACGCGTACGATTTCGCTAACACAGCTAGTGTTTAATATATACGTTTACTAACTCCTCTTTCTACTTTCTCTATTCATAGATATGTTTATGTTTAATTCTATAAATCCAGGTTGCCAAGTCCGCCGTCGTTGGGTACGTCGCTGTCTCTACAACCAGTGTTATATGGGCAGTCGGAAGGTGGTTCGCCGCGGCCACCACTGCCTCCAGCGAGACACCCATCAAGACCGAACACAGCTATACCTAGCATGCATATTATGAGCGCGTAAGTAATTAAATTAAAATATATCAAATTATAGTTATATAGAAACAGTATCATTTTCTTCCTGTCTTCTTCAATAAGGTAGACGCATTTCTGTACCCATCTCATTGATTCATCTGTATTTATGAGGAAATAGGTGTCCAGGCTTTTGTACCCTGTGCCGTGTGCCATCATAACATCGACGTGGTTCGAATTGAAATATTTTTACGTTGGTTGTGCCATTTATCAAGGAGGGTTTAGGCTATAAAACATCACGCTTGATAAATCGAAGCAAAGAAACAGAGGGAAATATGGGAAAAATCGAGGTAAATTATTTAGGATTTACGAAACCGGAAACCAATATTAGAATTAATTTTATTATTATATAAATTATCTAAAAACATGCTCGAGACAGTATATGTCTATCTTTTAAGATTAACTCCACAGAACGACGCGACGTGATGCGGACGACGTCGTGGTTAATAGCTAAAATAATTTATAAAACTTAGGAGGTAGTTTGCCAAAAAATAAATAATATGGTGCCGAAAATAACTAATCTACAATGACGCTGGCACAGTTACCTATGTATTTAGAATTCCAAACGACAACTTACGTAGAGAACAATATATAAGAACTTTTATTTAATCATTAGTTTTATGACATTTCGAACTTGCTGCTCCGTGTATCACAATGAAAAATAAAGGTAGTTTGTAATCTCGCATAAACGAAGGACTTATACTAGAAAAGTCTAACTTTAGTCATGTATTAGCAACTAGTAACGAAGTATAAATTATAAGCAAATCCCTCGGTTCGCGCTTTGTTTTGGATACTCGCCAGTTAACTCCTGCCGGGAAGGCAGAACAACTTTCCGAATAATTTATTTTCACTTTCATTATTTATAGAAACGACTAGACAAGGGGTGTTTTTTTTTTAATTCGATAACATAAATAAATTATTACAATTCGGCTGTATGTATTGTTTAAATAAAACAATTTAACCGTTATGGAGCCAAAATATATAACTTATATTATTTCCGACTCGACTTCTCCTAAAAACAATACATTTAATGTTTTTATCCGTTAATAATAATAAAAACTCTTTATTGCACAAACATAGACACAAAAAATGTTTGTGCAAAGGCGGCCTTATAGTCTATGGCGATTTCTTCCAGGCAACCTTTGCATGTAAAAATAAGAAATAAAAGATATTTTAGTTAAACAAAGTTTACTAAATTATCTTATTTAGTAGTACTCCGTTAAAAGGTTTTTGTTTATTACTCCGCGCGTAAACTATAGACATTAGTTTTGCATAAAAATATTCGAAATACCTTTTTTTAAATATCCGCTATATAATACGTATATTTTATTATATGTAGTGTAACATCCTAGATTATTTACGGACTACACTACCGCTCCTTTGTTGTCGTGATTTGTAACACTAGCCGAACTAGATACTGACGCTTTTATTCAATCTAACGGAACTTCTAACTTTGGTATAACTCATTTGGATTTATGTATACATAGATATATAATGAAAAATAACTGTAATTTCTAAAATCGTTTAATATTACTGATTTACTGGTGTGAAACATTTTCGAAATTCCAGCCGATTGCATTTTATGAAAAATACATTCGACGACTCATTTTGTGAATAAAAAAAATGACGCGATACATAAACCAACAAGATAAAATGTTGTAACGTTAAAATGAGACGATATTATTTATCATGGAAGTAACACCGCAGAGTGCGGTAGTCGTCTCATGGACCATCAAAGGAACCCTCATAAAACTTTATGCTTAGTAAAACTTCCGAATTCCGACTTATATTTACATGTGGATGTGGATCTTCTATTTGAGGTGAAGCCATGTTAATTTCATTATACAGATAAAATCTTTTATTTAAAGTTATAGATAAAAAGGTTGAAAACAATAAGGTATTACTTACAGAAAATTTACCGCCAATGACTTAAACGCGAGAGGTTCCGGGTTCAAATCCTATATGAATGATATCGATCAACAAAATATATTCTTAAATGTCTCTCAAACAAACTTTGAATTTAATAAAATTGATCAAAAAGCGAAAACTTACCGATTAAAATCGGTTGATAGACGAAATAAGTCAATGACGCATCTGTGTTAGAAGTTCTACGGCGGCCTATGCTTGTTTGATGTCCTCTATCAAAAAACAAGTGATACAAAAATATTATATACAAATCGATTTAAAATCTCACCACTTCGTCGTATGAATTGCAAATTCAAATACTAAGCTAGAAAAAGTCATCGATTTAGAAGCACTTTCGCAAACAAGGTATCGCAGATGTGCCCTACGCGAGAAGACCCTCGTTTTTGCCCAAGGTAAAAAATGTGACGCCCAACGAATACAGCAGAAATTGTAAGAATATATAAAAGCTTACAAAAGAGTCTCGCACACTCCCCCCGACGGAGGGTCAAGAACTCAAGAGCGGAATGTAGGTACTATAATCGCGTACATCTTTTCGTTGATAAATTGTACTATGTTATACATCTCTATAATATATATCCTTGTCATTTCCCTTCCGCGTAGGCCGATGTAACTGACCGATTCAGCTCATTTATTTGTTGATTATGTATATATCTTCTCTCCCGAAGGCATACTTCTCACATATATCTAAAAATGTATATTACTGATATATGATGTAGAAAAAAAATATCTAAATGAATATGTTTATATATTTATTTTGTTTTGCTTGACGTTTACTGTTTCCCTGGAATTCGAACCTTGGACCTCTCGTAACGCTAGGCAACACGTTTAACTGTTTAGCTACAGAGTCGGTCACGGAATCAATAAATACGTCCCATATTATAAATAACCAAAACGCTATCACGCGAGCTATTTTTAATAGACGTAATTTAAGAGGAAATATAGGAAGTGGTGAGCACTTAACACGTCTTATCGTCTCCCGATCCCCCGAGCGCAAATGACCCCCTTCCGACTCAAATTCCAAGGACTCCTAGATCCTCCAACTAGAGGGTTGGCTTAATAGACTTGAACCATTCCTCTTAATTAATTGAAGACGTTTAGTGAAGATTCACTCTGCATCTTCATTTAAAGTCTACAAACACAGGAGCAAACTTTATATATATGGAGCAAGGCAATTTTAAGATCTTTTAAATAAAACATTTTAACGGTTTAAAACCCGGTTATTTTAGATTCTATGAAACAAAACCTGTAATTACGGAAAAAAAAAAAAAGGGGGGGGGGGGGGGGGGGGGGGGGGGGGGGGGGGAGGAGGGGGCCCGGGGGGGTTAAAAAAAATTTCCAAAAATGTTTTAAAAAAATATCGCGTTTTAAACCGTTAAAGTGTTTTATTTAAATGTGTACTACTCACGTAAACTATAGACAGTATTTAATTTTAAGTTCTGTTATGCGCAAGATGCATGTATTAATAGCTCGAAATGCCGGTTCAAATCCGTGTCGTAATTTATTTCAAATCGATAAAATCGATCTTTAATTTAAGATCTATCAATAGAATCTAAAATCGATTGATCTAAAACGATATAAGATCTATTATAATTAAGTTCTAATTTTATCTACTCGTTAGACAAATCTTATTAATAAAGGCTAAATAATCAACAAAAAAGGTTTATTTTTTTAACTGAAGAATCTGTTGGTACACTAAATATTTAAATTACGTCTGGATTTCGAGTCACCATCAGCGGTAAATGTAAATCACTACGCTTTAGTCTGTAGATTCCCGAGAGTTCGAAGCCAAAGTCGACAACTTATTTTCGTTAGATGTTATACGGCTGTGGTACGTTGCCACATTTGTTTACCTAAAATATACCTAAACTAAAATTAATTTACTTTAAATTATTAATAGAAGACGTTTTAAAAGAGTTCCTTAATGATCCTTCTTTCTATAATTGTAGTATAACGTTAAAGGAGGTTAAGATGAAAAGCAATTTCTCAATATCTTAGCTCCTTGAATCTCTCTCTGAGAATTTTCATTAGTTCTTTTCAAAGTGATACTGAATCGTGGAAAACGAGTGAACGAAGTCACTCAATTTATTGAATTAAAATTACTTTGATGCCAATTGAATTATATAACTTTACTATAGCGTTAATTGCTATGTAAAGTAAAATCCTGTTTCGCTGTGGGGCATTAAGATTAGCGGCGTACTCATTTCTGTGCCCGTTTTGTTAATCAAATTGTATAAATTAAAAAAGTAATACAAGTGCTCTGCTGACAATTCCATTGTTTCCTCGGGATTCGAACCCAAGATCTGTCGTAACAAGGCGTCACAGTCAAGCGGCAATTGTTGTTACATCGGTTTATGCCTTTGTTCTAGTGTTTTATGTTTCAGAAAATATTTTCTTGTTTGAAACAGACATTTGTAGCGTAGTAAAATTCGATCAAATTTAATGAATTGAAATTTCCTCTACGTATTTTGAAACAAAAAAACTGTTTAAATAAAACAGTTTAACGGTTTAAAACGCGATATATTTTAGTTAACATTGGTTCAAATTTTTAACTACGGCCCGACGTTTCCTATGTGTTGCAGCAGCCCTAAAGTTTAACTAAAATATATCGCGTTTCAAACCGTTAAAGTGTTTGTCTTAATGACGTAAATATTTTATAAATATAGTAAATAAATACTTATATCTCAACAGAGTGTAGACCACTTTGTTTAGTAAGCATTATATCTTGTTTTGCATTAATGCACGTAGTCGCATATAGACTATCTATATATTTACTCACGTATTCATCTTCACCATTTCTGCAGATAAGCCTTTACCTTTCATATTCATAATTAGACTAAACCACATCCTGAGTCGTTTTACTCCTTGCCAGTAATATGGCAAACAGAATATTATTTTTGCAAAAAACTATATTCTCTATAAGAACTCTTTCTAAAAACCTCTTTCTTTACACTAGGTCACCGTTTCTAATTTTCCCCGCTTTTAAGCCTTTGATTCACACAATAAACCTCCGGATACACCTAAAGCCTATTTCTGTTCCGCGTTCTAGCGAATAGCAGGGCTTT